TTGCTTCTTGTCCTGCCCTCAGGTGCTTTGGAGAATAGCTTGACTCCCTCTTATTTGTGGCAACCCCTGGGATATCGGAACACTGCTATTATGTCTCCTCTAGTCTTTCTCTTTCATCCAAAGACACGTGAATCGTAATTGGATTTGTAAAATCCTAATCAATTCTCCCCAAGGCATTGTTTAGTTTGTTTCCGACGCCATAATACGACCATGCTAACGGAAAGATCGCAAAATGCTTAATAAGCTAGATTTTCACTCTGCATTTTAGTTCTAGGAGTGTGTGAATCGCTTCAGTTTGTATTTAGGCCGCGACTGTTTCTTTTATATTCTGGACTTTCCTCTGAGTCGAGGAAGAAACAGCCCCTGTAGATCAAGCAGCTCTAACGTTAGCTTTAACTGCAGCCAAACTCAGATCTCACAGTAAGTTCCTTAGGTTCATTCAGGCTTATGCTGAAAAGGTTAAAACAAGGGCTAACCCTTAATGGATTCTGAAAAGTGTAATTGCATCACTAAGGTTGGGGCAGATGTGTGATCCAAGCACAGAACTAATCTTTATGCAGTGTTCCTTGAGAGATCTTGATAAAACTGAAGGGACTACTCCAAACCACTGGCCCCAGAATTCATAGCAACTGCTCAATATCGGAGTGAAGGTTAACAAGCTAGGAACAGTTTTGGAACTCTTTGCTACATGTGAAGAAACCTTTATTTTCTTGCTGCTTCAGCCTCTTCCTGAATTGCAGAATAGCTGGAAGAGGACCAGATACTGTATTCTGGCAACTGTCAAGTAGTTATTAACCACTGATATAGATGACTTATTTCTGAATGAACTTGTAGCAATTATTTGTGACATTTGATGCATACCTGGGAACATCATTTGGGAACTTCTCAGTGGCCTTTTATACAGCATTATGCAAAATGAAAATTGTTTTCTAAATACTATAAACCGCTATTTGTTGGACCAATCCAGTAATGCAAGTTGTAAACTTTGGTTTATAAATAACAAAATCTAGGTTTGTTCATTGTGCTGAGCTAGGATTGATTTCCTTCTTACTTTACATGTGTGACTCCAGCCAATTATGGCTTATTCAGTAAACTATGAAAAATAGCTTAGCATAAAGTAAGAATATAGCTATATAATTGAGCTATGTATTTTGGAATGAAATTGGGACTATGAAAGCTGCATAGAAGTTGGGGGACCTCTTACAAGTAAATGACAGGGAATTCTTTCTAAATTCCAGAATTCTTTCTAAATGCCAGGATAATTACACAGAATGTCCAAATTATACTTATTCCCAAAAGGAGAATATTTTGAGCTTATTTACATGACACACTAAGTCACCAAGTTGACTGTTGACCAATTTGACCAGTATTCCTTCACAATGGAAACACTTTTTAAAAAATATAATTTTCAATTTTTAAAATGGATTTCATTTTTAATTAAAACAAGGACAAAAAACCAAAGCCAAAATAATGTTAGTCAAATTGGGATCAGAAAATGAAGAAACAATTGACTTTCCACTTATCTCTTCATCTCCAACTGAGGAGAACAAATGATTTGGTTACATTGTTCCCATTTTATGGCTACTCCATCTTCTTATCCCCCTGAATCCCCTTATTATGCCTGACTACAATTTGAAGCCAACCTGGCAGATTCTTCATTCTGTCATTCCCACCATGATATCACATTCACAGACTAATGGGACTTAAGTTATTTTTAATGGTAGCAATGCTAACATACAGTATTTCTAATACTATTCAAGGATAGCCTTAAAAATACAGCCTAGATCTATCAGTTGCTGGGAGCAGACCAATGTAATGGGTCTAAGCCCCCTGCAGTGAGTGGTGTTGCTAGAGAATCCCATAGAAATGAAGGGGTGATCCAATCATGACAAAGGGAACACCAAATGGTGACCATGCTTCTGAGTTGGGCTCTAGATGACTTGGAATAGGCTCACAGTTGCAATGAACTCCCAACATGCCTCAGATGGCATTTCTGGGAAAGGCAGATAAAAGTACTCCAGAACCATTAATCTGGGAAACTCCGCCACTAACCCCAAAAATAAATTAAAACAAAAAGATTTTGTTCCAGAATTTTCATTTTTTCCATAAATCAGGAGTGAGTAAACATCAGATCTGTAGAATCTATACGAACAAACACATCACTATTCTAAAATCACTATTTTAAAATCAACCAGCTTGAGTTTGAAGAAAAAATTAAGGGTCACACCAAAAACCACTACAGGTAGTTCTCAATTTGTGCATCAGTTCATTTATTGACCATTCAAAGTTACAGCAGCACTGAAAAAACTGACTTATGACCACTTTTCAGTTACAACCATTGAAACAACCCTAAGGTTGCCTGATCAAAATTGTGATGCTTGGCAGCTGGTTCATACTTATGGCAGTTGCTGTGTTCAAAGATCATGTGACCCCCTTTTGCGACCTCCTGACAAAAAAACGTCAATGGGGAAGAGAAGTTCATTTAACAACTGGGTTACTAACTTGATCACTGCAGTGATTCACTTAACAACTGAGGCAAGCAAGATTGTAAAATGGGGCAAAATTCACTTAAATGTCTCAATTAACAGATTTTGGGCTCAATTGTGGTTGTTAAGGATTACCTGTATTGGCTTTTTCTCAAGTTTCCTTAATACTGATATTAGCAATCTAATTTATCCTATGATTTATTCTGTTGCTATCATTGGTAAACAAGCAGACGTCAAAAAACCTTGTCAATTTATAAATTACTGTACAAGATATACTAAATCCAGGTGTTCTGCCTACCCTTGCTTTAGATTTTCTTTGAATATATGCCCCTATAAGAAAAGGGATCCCCCCATCTTCACTATTTTATTAATATGAATACATGAACTGTTTTGTTATTTAAATATTGTACATATTTAGAATTGTGAGGTCCTGAATTTTTACCGAACTTTTGGTGAATGAGACCTTACTTTTATCACACTTGCTATTAATATTTTTTAAATTGTTGAAAATTGTTTCAATATTAGCCATAAGTTGTTGGGAGTCAGGCAGGATGCAAGTTTAATAAAATATTATGTGGAAAAACAGTAGCATAAGCTCACTATATGAAAAAGTACATAGATTGTTCCTAATAGTTTAGACTGGATTTCAGAAAGGCACTTTAATTCATAGAAAATATTTTCAAATAGGTTTTTTTCATGTATGTTACAAGCTAGAGTACCATTTGACTTTCAACAGTTGTAACCAAACTGATGTGCATTTAAAAGTTAAAACTTAGTTCTATGCCATCAAAATTTTGCAATTGGACAATTGCAGTAGTTGGAAACTCTCCACTGTGAAATTGGTTTTTATACTTTTTCTTTCATATGACTCTAATACATAGTCGCTTTTGTAGGACACTGGCCCATCTTGTTCATGAGGTGTCAAACCCAAGGCTTGTGGGTTGGATCCAGCCCGTGGGGCCAGACTAGAAATAGTGAAGGACTGGCCCACGGTGCCTCTGGCAGCCAAAATGAGGCATGGAGGGGCCATGTGTGTCCCGCTGCAGCCCATTTTTGGCCTGGACGGCACCGTTTTTGGCCTGAATGACACTGTTTTGGCTGACAGGGTGCTGCAGGAGGTGTCTGCCCTGCCCCTCCCCCCTTGCCCGCAGAGAACAATGCTGATTCGGCCCTCGAAGAAATCCAGTTTGACATCCCTAGTTTAGATAATCTTTTAAAGTAATGTAATAATTTGTATCAGTTTAATAAGCATA